AGCATGTTTCCTAAATATCTGTTAACTTTACTATATTAAAAAAAAAATACATACAGCACCTTTAAACCTTTTTTGTCATTTAAAGGGTTAGTTCACCCAAAAATGATCCCATAATTCACTCACCCTCAAGCCATCCTATTGGTGTTTGACATTCTTCTTTCAGACGAACACAATCAGAGTTATATAAAAATACCCGGACTCATCCAAGCTTAATAATGGGAGTGAATGGTAACTTCAATTTTGAAGCCCAAAAAGTGCATCCATCCATCATAAAAGTTATCCTTATGACCCCAGGGGTTTAAAAAAGGCCTTCTGAAGTGATGCGTTTGTGTAAGAAAAACATCCATATTTATAACTTTATCAACTGTTAATTCGCTCCCATGAAGGCTGGAAGAGCCAGGATATCTTTTAATATAACTCTGATAGTGTTTGGCTGAAGTCATTTACACCTAAGATGGCCTGAGGCTGAGTGAATTATGGCATCAGTTTCATTTTTTGGGTGAACTAACCTTTTAAGGAGTTTGCACATTCATAAGCTTCTCCATGTGTCCGAAAGTCCTACACAGGTTTGAAATTACATGAGGGTGAGTAAACGATAACAGAACTTCAATTTTCAGTGAATAAACAATGTCTGAGTGTGCGTGCGCTGTGTGATATAAATTAGTCTTTCAATTAAACCACAAACAGAATAGAAACTAGATCATATTGTTTCTAGTATCCTAATTAACCTCTGTGCACATTGATCTTGAATCATCTCAAATCAGTGTTTATATCATTATCAGCTGTCTATAAATAAACTCAGGGTCTTCAGATGTTCGTTACATACCTTGGCTGAAGTTTCAAACCATCCCGCGAAGCCGTTCTCCTGGCAGAACTGCTCCATCTTGATGCCGTTGTTGGTGAGAACGTCTCTGCCCTGATCGCACTTGTTGGCGAGCAACACGGCCGCCACGTGTTTCCCGTTGGATAAACTCAGCTTGGCGTCGAGATCCTCCTTCCATTTTGTTACTGCCTCGAACGTCGACGGCCGAGTGACGTCAAAAACGATGAAAGCTCCCATGGCCTCTCGATAATACACCCGCGTCATGTTCCCGAAACGCTCCTGGCCTGTGGAAGCGATGGAGTTGAAACACATGAGAGATACAGACACTCTTCTATACACACATTCAATGACTACAAAGACAACAATGAGATGTTTATTATCAGGGTAAGCCTTGGGTGAATGTGAGAAGATTTCAGTCTCTCACTTTAATCCATGTGACCGCACTTTGGGATTCTTGTACCCATTTTCCACGGGTGCGAGCTAAAGCCTGGATATTATTAATGAGGAAAAGCACATTCCAGCAGCTCATATTGATCAACTCCACTGAGCTCCAGCCTCACGCCGGTGAACTTAAAGCTCTGATCTGGGCCACGACTCAATGTTCAGGATTAGTGTCAGAAGTTACTGGAGTGAAGTCTGAGAAACACTGAAGCAGAACTGAGAAAGCCTTGAAACTAATCCTTAATAAAAAAATAAATAGTTAACATTTACAACAGAAGAAAATAAAATGCTGTTTTTACAATAAATGATCTTAGGTAATGACATTTAATTGCCCAAATACATCTAAAAACGTGTTGGTGTTCATTTTAAAGTCCCCTGTAGTCAATAATTCTATCCCTTTAAAGTCATCTTTGATCACCAAAATGACATATTTAAACGATTTTTCCTTCATGCTTTAAAATAGCTTGAAGCCCCGCCTCCACTCACTCACTCAAATCAGAGATCACTCGCTGACGATCACACGTTGATCTGATTGGTTACAAGGTATTGTGTGACGTAAGAAACACCAGCGATTTCAAAAACCGCGTTTTTGAGACTGTCTTGGTTCACTGCAGTTTTACAGTTACATTCAAGATATTTTAAGGCATGGAGAGTATTATTTCATGGAAAAAAAAACACTGATGATCACATTGATCACAGAGCAGTGGGATTTTTTTTATGTTAATATTAATGAAGGCTATAAAAAAGGTAATTTGGCCTGCACATGGTTACATTTTTTCCCCAGCCCTCAACCTAAAATGAGTTGAACATCCCTACTGTAGAGTGGCATTCCTATTTTCACAGCATAAACGTTTAAATTTGTAATTTTGGTGATCACATTAGAGTTGTAAGGGATAAAATGATTGACTACACCCAGGGGGAACTTTAAGATGCATGATTAAAACGTCAACATAGCCTAAAGTTTTTTTTTCTGTAAAGTTGCTTTAAAACAATGTTGTGAAAAGTCATATGTAGTATGAAAACTACATACATATGACTTTCTGTCGAGAATGACAAATCATGCTCCTGTCTGGTGCCCTGTGCATTTTTCCTACAATGACGTTCCTGTTGTCCTTCTTTTGAAAATCTCCCTCACATGAGCGGCGAACACATGACCGCGCAGAGCGCGAGCTCGCGCGTGAGGAAAGTTATTCAAAAGAGACTTCAATAAAACAATGCGGCATCGTAATTAGATTAATTTTTGAATACACTAGGCCCACATAGCAACATTAGAACAACTTAAAGTGCCTTTAAGTGTGTAGAAATAATTTTTCTGTTTATAACATAGAAGATATCTTAGAAGTTCTTCACAGCTTTCAGTGACAAGTCATGAATACAAAAAAAATATATATTGTTTTTAATTAATAGCCTATGGCAGTACATTAGCCTACAATAATAAATAAATTAAAAAAAATTATTATTATTATGTTGTGTGATTTAAATTAATTGTAAACAAACTTTGGCCCAGAAGAAAAGAGTAGGCTATATAATCAAATGTAATTAAAAACATAATTAAAAGTTACCGGCGATGTCCCAGAGCTGCAGTCGGACGGTCTCCTCCTCGATGTTCAGGACTTTGAGCGCGAAATCCACGCCGATCGTCGCGCGGTAGTTTGGAGAGAAGTTCTGGTGCACGTAGCGCTTGATGATGCTGGTTTTCCCCACACCCAGGTCCCCGATCACCAGGATTTTATACAGGTGTTCCTTCTGGTGATGGTTCTGCATGGTTGTGAGAGATGGAGCCGAACATGGACGCGTGTGATCCGCAGTGAGACTCTGAGGGAAGAAACAGAAACGCCCCGCGGAGAGAAAAACTCAAACTTGTGACTCGTCAGTCGAGCATGAGACCAGAGACGTGAGGTGATGGAGGGGTCGAGGAGGGCCTGGTGAAAAACTGCCTTAGAAATTCAGAATGGTAAGTATAGTTGTCGAATAAAAGTCACTATACTAAAGTTAGACTGGACAGTGGACACTAAGAAAAAAGCTCTGAAGTGTTTGTAAGGGTGAGGACCGTCTACGCCCCCAAGGACTGGCTAGTTTTCTTCATAAGTGTAGGCCCTGTTATAAGTTTACACCGACTACTTCCCTAAAATATAGCATATTGCTGCCATGTACCATAGTAAGTACTTTTCAGCATATTGTAATTATTCAGTACATGGCACTACAAATATTTTTGTAAGGGGTTGCAATTACAGTAAATTATTTTACATAGGATCTCCTTACCAGATACGAATTTGGATTCAAGACAACAGAGTGGTTGAAGCTGTACATGTAAACTGTTAAGTTATAATTCATGTAAAACCAAAACCAAATTCTCATGCAAGCCTTTAAGGTCTAAACAAGAAGTGTTCTCAGAGAGATCATTGAGGCTAGTCGCAATTGAGAATAAGTTGAGAGTAAAATCTCAACAGCTGTGCATGAACACTGTTTATTACAAATTTAAAGATGAACTGAAAAAAAAATGTACGTTTAAAATGTGAAAACCCGGGAAGCTGCATAGACAATAGCAGCAGGTGCTATATACACAGACGAAAATGAGCACTTTTAACGGCATCGATTCCCAGATAGCACATGGGTATTTGATGTCCTTACATCTGGAAGACGTATTTTTAAGAGTGTTTGCTCATCTGCAAGACGTCTATAGGACGTTTCCTGTCAGATGTCAAATAGACGTTTAGAAGATGTCAGTTTAACATGCATAAATCATTACATCTTAGAGACATCTTCTAAATGTCTATTTGACATCTGCAGGAACCGTCCTATAGACGTCTTGCAGATGAGCAAACACTCTTTAAAATAGTCTTTTTCTAGATTTAAATAGGAGATCAAACAGCCTTGTGCTATCTGGGTTACGAGCCCGTGAGGGACAGGCCAGTATCTGACTACCACCACATGGAGGACGATCAGTTTCATGAACCAAATGACACGAAAAAAAGATTCATTTTGATAAAGGAGTTCGAACAAGAGAGTCATGAACACGCATCACAGAAAAGAGCAAGGCGACCATTCGAGCTTATAAAACGTAAACATTTTTTTTAAAATGCACGATCGTTTCACTTGATAAGACGCTTATTCATCATCTGGAATCATTTAAAGCCTTTTCAACAGTTTGCACTGAAATTGTAAAGTCCATTATATGGAGAAAAATCCTGGAATGTTTTCATCAAAAACCTTAATTTCTTTTCGACTGAAGAAAGACATGGACATCTTGGATGACATGGGGTTAAGTAAATTATCAGCAAAGGTTTTTTTTTTTTAAAGTGAACTACTCCTTCAACACCTTGACAAGCGGATGCGATGAAAACTGTTTTCCTGTTTGTCCATGTGACTCGACAAACCCTATATTCAAATGATTCATAAAAGAATCTTTAACAAAAAGCTGAAATTTCGTTGAAGATAAAAGGTTAGGGTCCTATTTTTTGGTAGCGCAACACACCACACGTTTATATTAGCACAGTTTGCTGTTGGCATCTGATATAGCGTTTGGACCCGGAAAAGCAATGCATGACGTGAGACTTCACAAGCGGATAGTTCTGACGCAAATGTCCATTGCATTACATACTAAACAATCAAAACCCTCTCAAATACTGAACAGATTCAATTTGAATTGGATTTTAGATCATTGATGGGTGTAATTTATACAAGTCTGATTTTCATGCATTAAGCATTGGCAACAAAGTACACCTGAAGCCAAACGTATCATTAAAAGAAACTTTATTAAAGATCATGAAACAGACACGGATGCAAAGGCAAAGTATTAAAATAGTCCTGAGCAGCTTGTCTTTTGGCGAATAACCTGACAGGACTCGAAGTATAATGCACATCCCTTTAGTCTATTGCTATTCGAGTGATTGTTCATTAAATCAGAAATATGGATTTTGCCGAGGACAATTGCCAACTTGATTTTCTCTGAATACAAAATGACCTCGTCCAATTAAAACAGTGGTGCAAAAGTGCAAATGTGACATTCAGAGCTCTCATGGATCAACGAAAATCCCTTTTTTTTTTCTAAAAACACACTTTAAGCAGTTGAGGCTTGTGACAGCACCTGAAGACATCCAACTTCCACTAGCACAGATCCAGCAATTGAGGAAATCCACGCTAAAAGAACAAAAAAAAAAAGAAAAAAAAAAGGCCTCTTTCTCCAAGCAGGTCAGTTGCAACAAAACAGGTCTTGCCTTTAGATTAAGCAAACTTTAAAGCCATAACTAGACTCTAGACAGGGTTGTTTTCGGCTGACATCAACAATTGGAAACACAGGTGACCCAAGACAAAAACATGACAGACTGAATCATAGCGAGAGTTTTTCCAGGCATGCAGGCGGCTCAGAGGAAAAGAGGAAGATGGCATCTGGGGGGGTTTTCAAACTCGAAGAGTCATTCTCATGTGGATCTGAGCAAGATGCTTCGAGTTGAAGGGATGGAAACCGAGTGGCTCCACAATTGTTATGTAAAAGGACGCCTGGCGAGAGAAGAGACTGTAAAAGGCATAAATGAACAACTTCCCCAGAGGCCAGCGACAGAGCTGACGTTAACGGTCACATGGAGCCAGACCAAAGAGGAGAACCTTGAAGCAAAAAAAAAAAAAACGCTTTGAAGCAGGCTGAAGTTGGATTAACATGTTTGAGAAATGAGACCGAATCAAGTCTATCGGATTTTGTAATTTCACACCGTTTGCTACTAAAAGGAATCTGAAAGAGAAAGTTGAATTACAACTTTCAGTGAGGTTACCATTCTACATTGCTTCTTTCATCACCAAACCAATCAAGTGGAGGTCATGGAGAAAGAAACAACTTGGTGCTTTTTTGTTTTAACTTCGTTGCCGTTTTCCCTTTTTTTTTAGGCTGCAGAATTGCGATTATAAAAATGCCCTGAAACATGACGGACTGTGTTACAACTGACCAATTCATCCACACACTCTTAAAGTTTGGAGATTGGCGTAGTAGCTACAGCAATGCTCTCAATGGCACACTCATCCACTCCACGACGGATCCTGAAAAACCCGTTCTCGCCCCAGTTGGATCCCCAGCTGTTCTTCACGATCCAGTATTTCTCCCCGGTCTTATGGCACTTCCCATACCCCACCAACAACACGGCATGATTGGTCAGCTCAAAGGGATTGTTGGAGTCGCGGAGGAAGGTGTGATGGTAGATGCCCTCTTTATAGTTCATGAAATCGGGGTACACCTCCAGTGCCACTCCAATGGGTCCGTTCTTGACCAGCTCCAGCATCATGGCCTCCTCGCTGCATCCCCCGTAAAAACCACCCACGTAGTGATAGTCGGAGGCATAGTAACGCGTGCATTTCTCAGGGACTTTGCAGGGAGAATCGTCTCCGGTGTACGGGAAACAGTTTTCCTCCACAATGCCGAAGTCCTGGATGTATTTACCAATCAGGTATGGAAAACCTCCATCACAACCTGTATAGAAGACAAAACCATGAACGGCAGAACATCCATTTAAATGCACAATTATGATCGTCTTTTTTAATTACTTTTATGACGTTTGCAACAAATTATACAATAATGTGTATGATATATAACAAATAACAAAAAACGAAAGCATTCGCATCAAAAAAAATATATAAATAAAATGAAGAAACATCCTTTCTAACATAGATTGTTCATTCCTCTACCAATTTTAAATTTAGTTAAAGGAGTTCACTTTTGAAAAAAACTTTTCCTGATAATTTACTCACCCCCATGTCATCCAAGATGTCCATGTCTTTCTTTCTTCAGTCGAAAAGAAATTAAGGTTTTTAATGAAAACGTTCCAGGATTTTTCTCCATATAATGGACTTCAGTGGGAACCAGACGGTTCAAGGTCCAAAAGAAACTAAGTACAAACTGCAAACTTGTTCAAAGGGCTTTAAACGATTCCAGACGATGAATACGGGTCTTATCAAGCGAAACGATCGCTCGTTTTATAAATAAATAACAAAGTTTAAGTTTTATAAGCTCAAACGCTCGCCTTGCTCTGTTCTGTAACGCACTCCTGTTCGAACTCGGTCATCAAAATGAACAAATCTTTTTCCGAGTCATTTGGTTCATTCGGCGAAAGAAACGAACGAATTGATTCGTTCCTTTTGTTGAACGAGTTCGAACAGGAGTCACGAACGTGCACCACAGAACAGAGCAAGGCGAGCGTTTGATCTTATAAAACTTAAACTTGGTTCCCACTGAAGTTCATTATATGGAGAAAAATCCTGGAACGTTTTCATTAAAAATCTTAATTTCTTTTTGACTGAAGAAAGAAAGACATGAACATCTTGACATGACATGGGGGTGAGTAAATTATCAACAAAAGTTTTGAAAAGTGAACTAATCCTTTAAATGGAAAAAGCATTTATCCTGAACCTTTACACAACTAAACGGTTTTATTTTCATTAAAGCTTTTTAAAAGCAGACATTTCTATTAGATCTCTAAATTGCATAATTACACTAACTAATGTAACACTGTAAAATAAAGAGTCATTGATTTTTCTTCTTTTCTTACAAAACCTACAGGAGGAGGGGTACCAAGTCAAACATTTACGCAATGAATCCATTCTGATCTCAATCGAATTGTGTAACCATAACCCTGAGGGAGTTGGAAAAGCAAACAGTTTTATAACTGCAAATACGCAGACTCTTAAGTTCGGCACCGATACGGGTCACATTAAATATTTGCCTCGGGCATTAACGCACGCTTTTACCTTGAGAATACTGGGAGCAGGACACCACTTGCTGAGGACTGAACACTGGCTGCTGGGTGTTGTTGGTCTGGATTCGGACTCGTGCTTCAAGCATTCCCATAGTGGCAAAAGAGTAACAGCTGCCGCATTGAGCTTGAGAAAGAAAGAAATCATTTACAGGTGAAAAAGGATAATTCACAACCTCATTTCCTCATCCTACAGAAACATCCTTAATCCGCCGTCCTTCCTTCTCGAATGTAACCCGAGCATCTGAAGGAGCTCTTAACAAAAGGCAGACCCTATCGGACTCTGAAAGGGAAGAACCACTCCAGACACGGCAACCAGCGCCTGAAGAGCCGATCAGCCACTCGCACTTATTTCAGAGAGAAGACATGAGAAATAGGTGCGTATCTCTTCGACTGTATAAGACGGACTAGGGAAGATGAGACTGTAAACCCCAGAGCAAGTGGAAAGATACAAATCCAAAAGAGACTTCTACAGGTTAAAAAAAAAAATGGAAAGATATCTTACGAAAAAGTCAAGGCTTTAAATACACAAATTAATGACAAGACCCAACAAACTTGCTCAAAAGGACTACAAAACTTCTAGCCAGGACGAACTTAGCTCCGCCCACAACATTTGAGGATGGGAAGTTCAGTCTGGACTTGATCCGTCGTGAAGCTCAAGCAAGTATGCCCAAACCAAAGCTGTATGGACCAATCAAATTGTCAGGGCGGCTTTATACGATGATGAACAGTAATGTAAATCACCACATCACCAAAGAGCGCTTGGGTTGAATTTGTTTACAACAAAGAATGGCAATTTAGATGTGTAGATTCAGCCATCGCGTCTGTTATGAAAGATGTAGACAGTGGATTTATTTTAAAAGAGGAACAGAACCGCGGTCAAGGAATTTGTCGATCAGAAATGGTTTTGCCGTCCTTCCTACGGGATTCGGTCCATCCAATTGAGTACAGAGGCTTTTTTTGCAATTTTTTTTTTCCTGGTTCGGTTGAAACACACCTCATAAATCACAGCCCAATGGAGCAGTTTCAGACTACAAAACATTTCACATTCAAAAGCTAGTAAAACATCTACTAGCCTAAAATAAGACTAGCAAAATGTTTCTTACCAAAAATGGCTCCTCATTAGAATACAAGGCTAATTCTCAATGGAGATGCGTTTAATAAAAACAAAACAATGTAGTTACTGCATGTACCAGAAGAAAATGCGATCAGTGGTTTTGTGTATAAAAATTAAATAAATAAAAAGTCAAATGCCTAAGACAGACTAAATAAAACCCAGAATATAAAAAAGCTAATTCAAACTATCACACTATAAAAATAAGACAAATTATAGTCATTAAACATCCATGCCCTTTTTATGAGGGGAAAAAGAAATGGTGGCTTCTCTAGACACTTAAATTCAATCATTTTTCATACACTTACATTTTATAATAAAATATTAAACACTAGAAAATAAGTTTGCTGGGGATATACAGTACATGAGAAACAGACAAACACAGATTAGAGAAAGAGCTTGTAATTTCCTGGTAGTGTTTCTAGCATCATTTGTGAGGCAATTCCAGTAAGAAGAGCTTCACTGTCAATAACACACACTCACAGGATTGCAGATCAATCAATAGTAGCATATTGATGTTTATCTCAGGACTGAATCAACTGTAGCACTGCATTGAAGACGTTTATAATACAAAATGACATGTTCAGCTCTGATCAAACACTGACTAAAGCAACTGTTTTGGTTGCAGTATTTCCTCTCACACAAACACACACACCTTGGTTGCGGACAGGGCTGACATAACTAAGTCCGTTCACATTTCTCCAGTCCCATTTTTCTGGAAGACCAGCTGCCATCTTCTGGTCTGCAGCAACGGTCATAGGCCTGACACGTCTGAAAGAGAAATTTTTATATGTAAAAACAACTTTATTACATACAATCAATTTGAAAATTCCAAAAAAAACTTAAGTAAACACCCCAATCCAAAAAACAAAAACAATATATTGGCCAGGTCTAGTCTATTTTTCAGAGTGAGGAGTGAGTATTAAGCGACCATTTATCTTAATAAAATTTGCAGCTATTATTATTCAGTAATATGAAAGCTCATTTCACACACAAAAATAAATAATTTCTTTAGTAAAAAGTAAGAGTTAGCATCTGACTTCTCAGAATTACACAATATAAAACTCGCAATTCTTTAAAGTCAGTCTTTATTTCCTCAATTGGACTTTATAACTCGCAATTACGAGTTTATACCTCACAAGAAAAATAAGTCAGAATTGCTTGAGTCACAATTACCTTTTAAATTGTTTTATTCTGTGGCGGAAACAAGTGGAACCAAGTCAGTTTAGTGAGGTTCATGCTTTAACTGAAATCAGCATGGATTAAAAGATTTTGATCAGATAAACATTAACATCATTAACATTGATAAATCGAGAAAGCCTAACTTCTAAATAAATTTCAGATATTTTGAGCTCGAAATCAGTTTTAACGGCATCCATTATTGAGTTACACACAGAAACCTGACTGCGCCAATGAAAGTGTGTGTACCTTGGGATCTTAGAGGCACGTCCTCCTGATCTTCTCAGCATCTCCTGTATAGTGAAGGTCTCATGGAGACTGTAAGTCGTGGCTTTCCAGAGGCTCTGGACGGAGTTTATCTGATCCACAAACTCCATGTTGTTTGTGTAAGGCAACTTCATGAGCCTAGAGATCATAAGATGTTTGTTACCAATAAACATCAATCATTCATTCATGCAGTGCAGGGAAGATGAAGTCACATGAGATCTCATCAAGATAGACAGCGAGATAAGAGACAATCACGAACACAGCTGACACAATCAAACACTCACAGTTGGTGATCGAATCCAAGCATGTGATTGTGGTCGATTCGGGGCGGGATGGGCTGCACCTTCTTCCCAGTAAAACAGGCCCAGTTATTCCCCAAAACATCATGAGCCCAACCGGGCAGCGTCTGATCGCAGTAACTGGTCACCTCTGAACCCTGCTGGGTGTACTAGACACACAGAGAGATAAATACAATAAGGTAACGCTTTAATTTAGGGTCCAATTCTCACTATTAGTTGCTTTTCAAGGAACACATTTACATTCTTATCAGTTCTTGCATATTTATAGGATATTGGTGGTTTATTAGTACTTAAAGTACATATTAATTCATGACCATACTCTAGATCCTTAATCCTACCTAAACTTAATCATATTAACAATTTGTTCCCAAGACGTAGAAATACATCAGCAGCTTGTTTCTCATTTATTCCCCTGTTTTAAGTAAATCGTGCACACAATAAAATCATGTCCTCCCTCGATTTACTACATAATGGCCACGTTGTAATAATTAGTTCTACGTGGCAACGATTTACTAAAACAAGGGAACAAATTAATAACTTGTGGGATCGAAGCCTTGATTTGTGGACACTAGCGTGTAAAGATATATGTATTTGTACTATGAATTTCTGGTACGCATGTTTACCCAACCATTAACCACCAATGATTGCAAGTGCCATGTTTTGTTACCCAAGAAGCAAAGTCTAATTTGTCAAATTATGTCCATTTTATCATGACATTTAATCAGTGAATGCCATTGACACTCTTGTGGTGTGATTGATTGCTGTAGGCATCGCATTTCAAGCCAAGAATGAACTTGATCATCCTTTAAAATTACTAAAACTAAAATAGAGGAAAAAGCTAAGAGCTTTTTTTTAAAAAAAAAAAAACTAATAAAAAAAGTCAAGGCACAAATCAGTAAAACTTAAACTAGATCAAGATAAAAAAAAGTGCACCAAGTATAGGACGTTGGCTAAAAGAAAAGAAACGGTAACATACGTCAGTGGAAAATATTACATATTTTAAGGGATATAATCGTTCTTAAAATGTGGTGGACTTGGAAAGATGTTAATAAAAGACTAAGAAAAGAGGAGGTATAGAATATTAAAGTTAAATACTGAGAGGCTGTCTTTTTTTGTTCTTGTTTTCTGCTATATGGAAATGTATATGTTCATGTGCATAGTTAAAATGCAAAAAAATAAATAAATAATTGAAACTAAATTAAACTAATTAGAATTAAAAATATAAAGTTAAAAGCCAATTCAAAATATTACTAAACACTATAATAGTCATAATACTAAAACAACCAGATCTAGTCATTAAATTATAAGAAAAGATAGCGCTTGTAAAATCATGCAGTGCAGACCACAGAAACACAAAAGAGCTGAGGTCACAGTTTCACTTCTGTTGTAAAAAACCCCAGTCATCTGATCAGTCATGTGGTGTCACCTGACACTAAAAGTGTCTCATCACGCTTACCTTGAAAAACCCGAACCATTTGTAGTCATTGATCACCACTTCAAACCCCTGGTTATAGATGAGTGTGAAGAAGCCAGTGTGTCCCAGATCATCCACAGCTAGAAACAACTTCTGCAGGTCCACAGTCACTGTTGACACCGGCTTCCCTGTTTAACAGTCAACCAAGTTCATTTTTCAGCATTACATGTGGAGAACATATGACAATAACATTGAGTGATTTAAAGTTGGTTTGATACCTTTAGGCCTAACAGGGTTGTAGTTTAATGGATTCAGTAATATAAAAATACCACATTAATCATCTAAACAAGCCTTGTGCAATAATGGGAATAATATTCTTAGTTTTTACATCATGGATTTAGTTTCTCACACACTCAAAGTACCAAAATTATTATAAACATAAAATGCTAATTCAAAAAAACAGTCCTGTGCAATAAAAGGGCTTAGCTTGATATCACAATATAATACATTTAAATTGTTTAATACGGCTAATATACATTTTATTTTTTGAAATTAAGCCTTGTGCTATGAAAAGGGTATACGTTTTGTATATCTGAGTTGGTTTGGGCTGCAAACCAATGAATGAAAACTAATGTCAAACTTCAAGCCAACTTTACTTCGCTTTCGTTAAAAATCAAAGATGGCGCGCTGCTGTGAAGAAGGTCTAGCCAAAGTCTAATCATGGTAAAGATTCAGTAGTAGCATGGTAAATATCAAATTAAGAGGCTAAAGTAACTACCATTCTGATATATTAACTATATACCGTGTACAAAACAATAGGGCAAAGATACAGACTTTCCAGGGAAAACCCTCAACATGAAACCGAAAGTAAACAAGATCTTCCTTATTGAAGAGAAAAGCGCACTGATAGTTGTCTGGTCTGACCTGTGCTGGAGCAGTCGATGGTCCGATCCTGTCCCACATCAGACACACTGAAGATCCAGGTGCCCAGCAGGTCCTCATAGGTGCAGTTTGCAGGAGTATCGGCCGCGGACCCGCCGATAAACGCGAACAAAACAATAACGGAGAGCGCGCGCATCTTTACGACGGCCCGACCGCAGATATAACGGTATACGTGATTTAACGATACAGCGCGAGGGGTTTTTAACAATAATCGGACGCAAAGAAACAGGTGTGTTTCCTTCTCGTCCTTCCGCGCATCTGCAGGTCTGAAACTCTGTTGGTGTTGACCAGCCGCGTGCTACTGAACTTATACAGCAATGATCATATGACACGAGTCATGTGACATGGCACTAATACACACGCGCAGGCATATCACTTCCACAGAAACCCATTAATTCATCATACAAACGGACGCATTTGATTATATCACACACACATAACAATTAACTGTCTGTCATGACAAACACACATTAACTCAATCACAAATGTATACAAACACATGCACACACATATAAACCTATGAAGAGACAAACACATTTATTTGGTCTAGCACATTAAACAGTGACACTGACATAATCACAAAAATTTACACACAAAAACAATAACCCTATTTCAGTCTGAATCTGAAATAATCACACTACAGAAGTGTGTAATCACACACTACTATCGTGTTGAATTTAAATGTTTTAAACAAAAGTATCTTTGAATTAAATGCAAAGACTCATGAGGACGATCTTTAGTCAAGTGAAAAGGCATGACCTTTGAAACCCACTTCCACTCACTGACACACTTCTGATTTTATAACTGATTTATCAGCAAAACAACCAAAGGACATGTCGGTGAGGATTTACTCGTTTCACTTCTCACTTATTTCAAATGTTTGATGGGTCACTAACAGTTTTGGGCCCTGTGAATGAAAGTTTCAGCTCTTTGCTTGAACATTTCATTTTTTAAGGGTACGTTAACACGACAGCGATTTATTAAAAAGGGAACCCACAAAAAACCCACAAACTAAAACCCACAACTAAAAAAACCCACAACTAAAAACACTGTATTAGGCTATGCTGCCAGGCCAGTTGGTTTCCAGGCCCACAAAAGCCGTTGTCATGTAAAAAAATGGCCAAAATGCAAAAAAGGATTTCAGTTTTTAGTTGGAAAATTTTGTCCTACATAATTATTTTATAAATAAAATGAAGTGCTTTATCTGATCGTGCACCTGCCTAACATTGGATGTGCGCCTAATACTACTTAGAAAACATTTTATGCAAAACTAACACTACATTTTGTGCTTATTACAAAGTTTATTGAAATGAAAATGTAAAAAAAAAATCAGTTCCAATGATGATGTCATTTCTAACACTTAACCCTGGGTTAACATATAAAATCCACATTCTCCATTATCGTCATGTTGAGGTCAGTTTAAGGAGTTTTGAAAAAACAACCTCTTTAGCGTCATATAAGCAGCATTTACTTCTGATGGCAAATTTGTATTTGAGATGAATGTTGTTAGACGTTATGTGAGTTGCAACCGCTTTTCTTCAGTTGATGTTTTGATTTTATTGCACTTCCACAGACTCTCATTTCCTCAATTTGATAAGTGATGTTGCAGTTTCTACTGTAGACGGTGATAACCAATCATAAACTTGTCATTGCTTGCCTTATTAAATAGCTTGCCTAAATTAAATTTTAGCACCATATCCCACATTTTGACCTTTGGGAACAATAATGTGCCCCGCTGCTGTATGAAGGAAAGCTTCCTCGAGCCATTTAAACACGTAATGAGGCGGTAAACAAACTTAATGTATGAAGTGATATTTTTCCTAAATGCTATTGGCTGATTAAATTTGGAGCTATTTAAGACAGAAAAGGCCATCTGACATCCCCCTCTGAGCTCAGCTGTCTCTTCTACTGAATGAACAAGCTGGGGCTTTTAACGAGCCTCATTAACCAATCAGAACAGAGCAGGGTGGGGGGAAGACAAAGAGGAGCAATTACCACAACGACTGATTCACACACTCCATCCTAACAGCCCAGAATAGACAGCGCAGAAAGGCTCAAATGCACAGGAATTAGTCACTCGGGCTATTTAGACAGCACTGCCAGTGTGTGTGTGTGTGTTAGGAGGAAGACAGTGAGAAACAGAAGGAAGTGTGTCCACTTTAAAACAGCTGTTTAATTTGGAGTCCTGGTGTGGCACTAGGGTTTCGTCAGCCAGAATATTGTTTTCAATTGTTGTCGTGTCAGTGACACTAATGAGAAGATGATTTCAGAGCAGTTTCCTGTCGCTGTGAAATATAAAATGGGAAATGAATAAAAGAGATCAAAGTACTATAGCATACGTACATAATAGCATATGAAAACGTCCTTGTTAGTCCAATAAAAGCTTTTATTCCGGTTGCCATTTTACAACATTGGACGTTTTCAAAACAATTTCCCCCAAGTGCACCAACGAGTGAGTTGAAACTCATTATAATATGCAAAACTGTTATCCACTCACAAGCAGTGGGCGTTTACTAAGTCTTCAGTGCGAAACGCCCATAAAAACCCAGTGTTTTTGAGAAAATAGCCTATTACTTATTCATTTGGATGTTTTTGAATGTAAAAACCAAGTGAACGCCATAAGTTGACCTCAGACAACAATATAATAAAATTTAAAAAGCCAGTTCATGACCCCTTTAACATTTAGCGGCCGGATCAAATAATGAGGTGAAAGAGATGTAATGTACCGCATATACTAATGAGGCATGGGTTATATTTGCCATGGAGAATTTTTTAAAAGGAAAAAATGTTTAAATATGTCATTTTGGTGACCAAAGATGAGTTTTAAGGGATACAATGATTGACTGCAGGGGGGACTTTAATTTAAGTTTAAACCACAATACGTTTCTCAATTAAAGTCCCCCTGTAGTCAATCATTTTATTCCTTTCTAAATTCTAAAACATGCTGAAAGCAATACATGTGGTTCACAATACATTTTACTCTTTTAAAGTATTTTATTTCTATTATAAATACTCTTTTTTTTAAAGTATGCTAAATTGTACATATTTTTAACAAGGGCAAGGGAACTTGCACCTCATAGGGGTAGATAATGACAGTGTATGTAGGCACAGAATGCATACTTTATACTGCAGAAATAGTGTGGTAGCATGCATTTGAACTTAGCCGTTATTATTATTCAGTAATGTTCTTCTGTTACAGATGAGCACATACAGTACAAGTTAAATTACACAGATGAACAAGAAGCAAGCAGCATTTAAGACCAATGCAACAGCATTACACACTCGTCTGGAGGAGCTTCAAGTGTGGGGGCACTTCAAATTAACAGCTGTGTGTGTGTGTGTGTGTGTTTCTGATCTGGTCTTATATGTGATTAGTGTGATCACCACACATTTTCCTGGTGCGTGTGCGTTTGAATGACATGTGATCTCGGGGTCTTGAATTCAAACGTGTTGCTGTTCGCTGCTCTCGCCCACACGTAATTACATAAGCTTGGCATCTGCTGTCACTCCAGTACAGTGTTAAAACACACAGATGCATCTCACCCCAACACTTACTATTTTATGCAGTCTATTAATGTCATTTTTCTGTATGCATAGTGAAGGTGCATCTGTCAAAATAATAACCAGAGACTGTATCCCACAATGCAATGCATTCCTATTATGTTGCATGAATGAGAAAGTAATATTAGCAATGAGTTTTTAACATTATTTGATCGGACTAGGGCTGTGAAACGATTGATCACGTGCAAAATAAGTTTGTGGTTACTAATATATGTGTACTGTGTATAATTATTTTGTATATATGCCTACATGTATATTTAAGAAATATTTGCACGTATACTGTATATATATTATATATAAATATCAATATTTTACATATAAACAACACATTTTTTTCTTAAATATATGCATGTGTGTTTCATTTGTATACACACAGAAAACGCACATGTATTATGTAAAAAACAACCTTTTATTTGATGAGATTGAGAGGATGAGATTAATCGCGATCGAATTGCCTGGACTGCACTGGTTTATTTTTACACTGGTTTATTTTTACATACTACATGTATAGTATATACTGTGCAGTAAGCAAAGTACTATACAGTATATTGAAGATATGGGTAACACTTTACAATAAGGGTTCACTAATAAGCATTAATTCATGCTAAACTAATGCACAGATAATACTGAATTAATGTGTAAGTAATGATTATCTAAGCTATTCATTAATGATTACCACATTAGGAACTAATTAAGAGTCTGTAAGGTTAATGTATTAGTTCATACATTAATTTTTTTAATCAAATATGTAATTGTGGATTAATTCCATAATAACTCATTTTTTAACTAATAGTATTAATATGTTAATTACCAGAATGAGCCAAAGCCTTGTATTTCAACTTCCAGATAATATGACAGGTACACTAATATGCATTAATACATGATTACTTACTTAATTGTTAGTGCAAATTCATGTGAAAATTACTACAATTACTAAATGACTAGTTAATAATGATGTGCCCCAGCAAGTAAAGTCATAACATAATGATGCCTTTGCAAATCATTAGCTAATGATTAATTAAAGCAGACAACTGGAAGTTGAAGTGCATAGCTTTGACTAATTGTGGTAATTAACACATTAATTTACACTATAAGTTAATAAAATATGTTATTAAGGAATTAATACACAATGACACATTGAATTAAAATCAATGCATGTATTACTTAATCTATTAATCATAAAGACTCTTTATTAGTTGCTGATGCAGTAATCGTTAATTAATTGTTTAGTTCTTCATTAGTTATACATTAACTCATGATTATCTGTGTATTAGTTAAGCATGAATTAATGCATATTAGTGGACCCGTATTGTAAAGTGTTACTAAGATATGTTCAGTCACATGCTCGCTCACATGAGTTTGCCGTGTGTGTGGTGGTGATAAATGAGCTTGGAAGTGAAACACACGGCTGAAATGATGGAGTGCACTGCTGGTCTGTTGGCTAATGATCTGGGCTGGTAGAATAAAGGTCTCATGCAGGGCTGGAGTTGCTGAGATACGATCGTGAGTGAGAAAGAAAAGCTCCAGGGAAGCTGTTTTTGCAGCACATGTGGCGCTTTTGAGCAAAAGACCTCTACTGCATGACAAATCCTCAAAATAACGAAGAAATTAGCTGCTAAAAATGTATTTTACTCTTCAGTGTTGTTGATACTATTGGAGCAGAAATGAAACACAGAGTAGCGCGGTATTCATTCCCAAGGCCAGACTCTTCCATTTAAAGGTCAGGGGCCTCATTTATAACCGTTGCGTCGCACAAAACAGGCCCTGAAAGAGGCCTACGCCACTTCCCGCGCATAAGTTGTGATTTATAAATTAAAAATAAAATAAATAAATTCGGATTTGTCAGGTCACAAGGGCACAGAATAAGATATAAAACTTATATGGCATTGAACGGCTCTACATGAGAGGAGAGGAGCCAGGGGTATTTATGATGCCAAGTCTTTAAAAGGGAATGAAAACTGGATAATGGAAACTACCACCCACTTCTACACAAGTCACGGCATGTGTGTGTGTGGGGGTGAGAGCAAGACATTCGTTTAAATGATGGAAAATTATACTGACGCACTTTCATTCATATGTTTATCAGTCTGTTGCTGCTTCAGAGTTTGGAGATTTTTCTCCTTAACCGAAACTATTGTTAAACGTAAATTGTAAAATTCAATTCAATGCGATAATTTCATTCTGCTAGTGTGTGATGAATGAGCTCTGATACTGACAAATACAATAACAGTGTTTAATCAATAGCGCTGTATTTAACCAGTCAGACTCAATCAATAATAACGGATTACAGCCAACTTATGATTCAGATAAAGTGCGATATCTCAGACGGTCGTCCATAAGATGTGTAAAGAAACAAAACGGTCCGCGATTAGAAGATCATTTACTGTTTTACACATTCTTTAGATGTTTGTTAAACAGGTTTGATTATCATAAAATATAGGAACATTGATTTATTGACAATAATTAACCAGCTTCCCTGTGGCTCAAACAGGAGAGCATGCGATTTTAGGGTCATGGGTTCGAATCCCAGTGAATGCATGATAATATGCACTGATAAAAGCAGATACCTATTTTAAAGCCCAGAAAAAGCACATCCATTCATCATAAAAGTTATCCATACAGCCACAGGGGGTTAATAAAGGCCTTCTGAAGCAAAGCAATGCATTTAAAAAGTCAATTTATAACTTTATAAACTATTATCACTGGCTTCCGGTAACGTCGGTACGCATGTCTGGAGAACCGTGAACCATCGATGCATCTCGATATGAGACGTGGTCTGGAAACCACGTTAATTTTCTCGTATTTGAGGCGTGGTTTACGAATGCCCAGAGCATTATTGGGTGCTACGAATGTCTATCAAATGCGCCTGTACGTAGCTCATAGCCAATCGGTTCAGTAATACCAGATGATGTATGTAGAGCGACCAAAAATTAGACGAGGAAGAAGACGATGGGTCAGAGAATTAGGAGATTTATGTATACACAAATGCTGTATCAAAAGGTAACTTCGCGTCCGCTGCAAAGATGGATGTCGCACGCATCATCGTCTTGCTGCTCCCTCCCCGTTCTGTGATTGGTTCCCTATCTCAGGCGAAAATTTAGTTCATGGTGTCCAGGCTGCCTAGCAGCGTGAATAAAATCAACATGGCGAAACCCAGGCTACATCTCGATAGGGCTGGGCAACAAACTCTTTCTCTTTAAATACTCTCATTTTAGACTTCAAATTCTTGCCACACTCTTTCCTCTGTGCTTCTGGGTTCATCAATGGGCCATGCTTCAGGTCAGAGGTCACTCGTGTACGGCTGTTACGGAAGACATTGATTATTTTTCTTACAAAAACACATTGCTTCGCTTCAGAAGGTCTTTATGAACCCCCTGGAGCCGTAAGGATTACTTTTATGATGGATGGACACACTTTTTCTGGGCTCCAAAATCTGAATTCACTCCCATTGTAAAGCGTGGAAGAGCCAGGATATTTATTAATATTACTCTGATTCGTCTGAAAGAAGAAAGTCATTTACACCTAGGATGGGTGAGTAAATGATGGGATAATTTTCATATTTGGGTGAACTATCCCTTTAAGTTCTGCTTTTCCAAGTAGGAAAAGTCAAGAGTCATTCATTCTCAGAGACAGTTGGACTTCCATGTTTTTAATAATGACTGGAAAGATTTAATATCACGCCACAATGGTTTCCACGTCAAGAAAAAGAGGGGAAAAAATGTGTACAGCTGAAAGCATTTTCTCACATTTTTATTTTCCCCACAAAGCTGCAAGAAACTGGAATATCAACAAATGCCAACAAAAGTCATCTTCAGTACCACGTCAATGATGATCAACAATCCACAGAATCTCTACATCAGAGAATCGGCAAACACAAGTCCCAATATATAGATATAGATAACAAAATATAACCACTCACTTGAGAGTAAAGAATTATACACAAAAAGATGTTAGCACTTGAGATGGAGTCACAGAGTTGGTTTCGTCCTTCAGTCATGAACCTGTGTGAACGCTAAACGATTGTGTTTCACACATAATAGCACTAATAAAAGATCTCATGTACTCCAGCAAGCATCATCATCATCATCATCATGAAGTAGCAAAATGTAAACATCAATGTGAGTCTACTATCGGCAGCAACATTGACATTCAACCCAGAGCTCCTACAAATGCATCTGTCATGTTCGTAAACCCACTTAATGAAGAGAAAAATGAAGAAATCGCCTTCCAGGGGTAGATTTATTAATATTTCACCGGGTCTTTCAAGCTTCATGTTTTTGATCTCGCCGAGTGAAATTTAAGCCTTTCCTGACGAACCGCAGCTGTTTCCTAATGTACCACAATAAATCTGAATAATCTCTCCGGCTGCTTCTGTGTACCTGTGGCAAAAACACTAAAGCTTATTACCAAAATGACACACGTGTTATATATCATCTGGAATATTACACACAGTTTTATGATTTAATATAGCCTGCTACGACCCCTGATTTATGTTATCACAGTAAACAAAAGCCAAGAGAAAGAACGAATTACGCTGACCACAGTATTTTCTCATTTTATAACGAGAAAACGGTTCAGCCAAACGAGATTAACGAGATTTTGAAACCTTTCTGTTGAAAATCGTGACTTGGAAAACAGCATCGCGCGCGCACGGCGTCTGTTACCTCAGCAGTTCGTTCATCCAACAAACACTATCATAATCGGTTTCAAACGACAAACAATGTGTTTGCTCACACACTGATCTGATCTGCTGCACATTCATAGGAGATATTTGAGTCCTAATATACATTTATGTGTGCCAGCATTTCTGGACCAATGAGATGTGGCGACACCGCAGAAAAACGCTTACCGGAAGAGATGGCTTTATCGTGTCGTGCCCGGTTTAGGAGACTGTTTACACTGGAAGTGACTGTCATGGATTTAGCATACTCATTATTATAATATTAAAGTATTGCTACAACATATAGTTATCTGGTCAGTACTTCATTAAATATATAACAAAAATGAATTCACAAAACAGCAAGTCATTCAAATGCACAGTATTTTCAAATAAAATTAAATAATTTTATTTTTAGGAGAAAGTAAAACTGCTGACATAGGCCTGGATGTCCAGATTATGGACACTTGTGCCCGCCACGAAAAAAAAGAAGATAATTTCAACTTTAATCACAAATTCTGATTTTATTTCTCGCAATTGCGAGTTTATCTTCTGACTTTTTTTTCTCAGAATTGCACTTTTTTTTTTTTTTGCGACCAATTGGTAGAAATACCATCAGAATTGCAAGATGTTAACTACCCAGATAGCAAACTGACATTGAATCAACGTGGAAATATGACATCGAAACAACGTAGATCTGACATTGTTTTGCTCATCGAATTAACGTTGAACCAAAGTCAGACGCGTCATTTTTTCAAAACGAACGGAAAATCAACTTGAAATCAACGCGTTGTTTCAACGTTATGAAAGCAAACCAATTTTCGATTTTCATTTAGCTTTGAAGAATGCCGCGTCTGACGTTGGTTCAACGTTAATTCGATGAGCAAAATCAACGTTGTTTCAATGTCATGAGAGACGTCGTTTCCACGTTGATTCAATGTCAGTTTGCTGTCTGGGTAGCAATAGAGGGAGAATGAAAGTCTTAAAGGGAACCTATTATGCCCCTTTTCACAATATGTAATATGACGTTTTGTGTGCGTCCCTTTAAATGTAAAACAGTTGCTGCTCTGTTTATGATTTATGGGGATTATAAAAAAGAGTGGGTGTATTTCTACCATTAGACTGCTTGTTTACACACTCTAAGGACACACATCTCTGTTCAAACACCTTATAAAAGTGAATTTTGCATTAGGTCCCCTTTAAAAAAGTCTTTATTTCCCACATTTTTTTTATTCCGAGGCGGAAACGAGCTTCCATGGTTTTTAGTGTAGACAGAAGCATTGATTTAATTGTTTCGAAACACGTGTCTGGTATGTAGATTCGGGCTGAATCCCCGAAATATGACGAAATAAGAGAAGGAGGAAGATTTCTCATTCACAGAAAGAAGTTTCAAATTGATTAGAAAACTTCTAAAGCCGATGTGCTTTGTATATGCGTATGGTGTGTATTGCTTTGAGTCCCAAAGTCTGGTCTATTTATAATATATATATATATTTATATAAAAAGAATACTCATCACCATAAAAACGATTCATATCATTATGTTACGAAAAACACACATTTCGCCACACCTTCTCCCTCCCCCCTTTGGCACTAAAAGCTCTATTAAGATAAATATTACTTGTAAATTTCTCTTTTTGTTTTTCATATAGTTGCTAGACACTTGAGTAGCCTCACATTCATCTAAGCACGTTCTGTACACAAGGGAATGGTAAGAAAAGACATCTTTAGACTCGTAAAATCTTCTGTTATTTCGTCCTCGTGTAATCCGTTTAAAATGACTGCAGTTGTTCAGCTTTAACAATAAGACACTGTTAAAACTTTACTAGACTTGTTGCTGTTCGCATGCCCTTGATATTTACACAATCAATAGGAATCGTCAATCAAAATGATTAGAATGGCTTCATGGTGAACACATAACTCATATCATTTATGATTCAAAACCTGATGATAGAGAGAGAGAGAGAGAGGAAAAGAAGCTGTTTAAGATTACATAAAAAAGCCCTTCTGATAGAAAAAATTATCATTTAAAGTCAACATGAAATGGCGTTCGCAGCCCATTATAGGCCTACTTCTGTAATGTGACATAATTTATACATTGTTCGGTTATTTTTCGTAGGGACAAACCGTGTCGTGCACAGATACATTTGTTCAAAAGAACACCAGGAATGTGTTTTAAGAAAGTAAACATTTTCATTCCATGTTGACTTTGGACCAAAACGTTGTTGACTGAATGATTTGATTTGACACAGATCAATGATATGACCCACAGTGAACTGGTTTGTTAGGGGTGATATGATGTCACTTCACCCACTACCATCTTACAAAATTGAATTTGTGTCTGTGTAGTTCATGTTCAGAGTTTCCCTCACTAGTTTGCCATTAACAAAAAAAGTAAATAAAAAAAGTACCATGGTATTCTTGGGAGTACCAGGGTATTACCACCTGATACCATCACTATAACATGGTACCACAACGTTTTGGTAAGGTGTGTTACAGGATCTGGCTCCAGAGTTTGGTCCCACAATTAAATCAACAACAATAATAATATATATATATATAAAAAATGCAGGTAATTATTATGAAAACATGTCTAGGTCACAGTTCACCCTGAAATTAAATTTTATAAATAAACCTAAATAAATAAATGGTTGCGGCTATTGCTTATTGGGACAATCCCTCCCTACAACTTCCCCAATCCCTAACTGATAAACACTTTATTATTAAACGCACGTTAGACACTTTATTTCCACTTTTTGAATATTTTCTACATTTTATTGAAAATAAATGCCTTTCCGATTTGATACGAGATGGGAAAAGGGAGATTCGAACCGGGTCGATTTGTGTCAAAACGTTATTTTATGCGTCTTAATCGACAATCCAGCATCAACGTCAGTGGGCGGAGTTAAAAAGGCGTGTAAATAGACACTAGAAATGAAGCCTAAAATCATTGCATTGTGACATTATTTTCAAAAATGACCACCTATGATCCTATAATAAGGTTTCATTTTTCTATAAGCAGATTTTTGGGGTGAAATATGATCTGGACAGGTTTCATTAGATTCACCCATATATGCTCTGTTTCTGAAAAAGGCAGGTAGAAAAATGGAAGAATTAAGAGAAAATGGAGAGAAAAAGGAGAAGAGAAAGTCATGGACGATGATGATGTGTGTGAATATCGGTCTGTTTGCTCTCTCACACACCGTCCTGTGGTACATCAAACAAAGCACTTTGTTCAAAGATTGCGTTTGAATCTCGGAAAGCATCGGGGGACGTCACCTCGGACTCTTTAATTATTACAGTGTACCAGCAGTCGTGTACGAGCGAAGCAGTGTGTAATTAAACAGGCTTTTCCCTTTGCTGCCGTGTCTTTTTCCAGCCCTTAATAATCTCATTGTTTGATGATGAAAGTAGCAAAAAAAGGCTCGTAATATCCATGTATGGGAACATCCCCGTGGGTCTCCCTGTGTATTCGTCCGCCGACATCCTTTTTTGGGGGGGGGGACACCAACATATCGTAGTCATAGAAACAGCACTAATTAGATGAAAGCCATATTTGTTTAAGGCCACTACCAAAACAGACCAATGGACGCCAAACTAGACGAACGATTGAGAAACTACTGCAGGTCTGATGTTTATCTGGAGGGGCGGCGGAGCCCGGTTTTGCATTGGTCTGAAGGTGAGAACATGTAAACACACACACTCAAGCGACATTATTTGGCGCTCCATTCTTCACTCTGTTGTCCGCCATGCTGGTCCTCATAATGAAGACGAACTCTGGCTGTAGTGTCGGAGCACCAGGCAATCGTATTTCGGGACGAGCGGAAGTTCGGTCATTTCGGCATCCGAAGCGGGAGAACTTGGCGAGGCGCTTCCCGACCCGACGGAGTCCCTGAAGGGGGAGGGCGGAGTCAGCGCTAGCAGTTCCTCAAGCTCAAGCTGATTGGACGGCGACTCCATAACCGAGGACACGCCCACTTTAAGCTCCTTCCCACTGGTCGTTGGTGACGTTTTGAGCCGCGATGAACCGGAAAGATTGCAGGAGGGTGCGGGGCGGCCCACGTTAGGCTCCACCGGTGGGAGGGGCTGTATTTCGGCATAGGTCGTCATGGTGGCCGGCATGGAAATCTCTCGGGACAGGCGGTAGGCCGGAGGACAGCAGGGATCCTGTGCGTGAGCAGAGGCGCTGGTGGATAAAACCGCGGTGCTTCCCGGAGGAGAACTGGTGAGCATCATGCTGTTGAGCTCGCTGATGTTAGCGGTGAAACGGTTCACCACGCAGCTAATCTGCTCCATTAGCGAGCCTTGCGACGCACTTCCGCCGCACGAAACGTTACCGCGATGCTGAGGCTGACACATGTACGTGGAGACGCTCATGACCTGGGCGTCATTGCTTTGCGCTAAAGAAATACTCGCTCTTTGGGTCACGGTGCTGATTGGCGAGGGGGTCTGGGGCCGGTAGCTGATGGGGTAGCGCTCCTCCGCTTCGGTGACCTCGTAGAGCATCTTGTTGTTACTGTTGTCGGTGTTGATGTCGCTGCCTCCACAGTAGCGTCCCTCGGACGTTTTGGAGAAAGGTTTTATCACGGCCGTCTGATTGCTTTCGCGCTTCTTGATGTGGAAGGAGAGACGCTGCCACAGGTGGCTGCCTTTGGAACTGCACTCATTCTGGGCCCAGGTCACAGACTTCCCATTAGAGCTGAAACAACAATTAAAATATTTACTGTTAAATGGTAAATAAATAAGAAACTTTCAGTACAAACTGCAAACTTGTTCAAAGGGCTTTAAACGCTTCCAGACGATACATAAGGGTCTTATCAAGCGAAACGATCGCTCATTTTTTAAAAAAATAACAAAGTTTTATAAGATCAAACGCTCGCCTTGCTGTTCTGTGGTGCACGTTCGTGACTCTCCTGTTCGAACAAAATTAACAAATCTTTTTCCGAATAAATTTGTTCGTTTCTTTCGCCGAATGAACCAAATGACTCGGAAAAAGATTTGTTCAGTTTGATGAACGAGTTCGAACAGGAGTGCGTTACAGAACAGAGCAAGGCGAGCGTTTGAGCTTATAAAACTTAAACTTTGTTATTTATTTATAAAATGAGCAATCGTTTCGCTTGATAAGACCCGTATTCATCGTCTGGAATCGTTTAAAGCCCATTGAACAAGTTTGCAGTTTGTACTTAAAGTTTCTTTGGGAACTTGAACCGTCTGGTTCCCATTGAAGTCCATTATATGGAGAAAAATCATCAAAAAATGTTTATCAAAAACCTTAATTTCTTTTTGACTGAAGAAAGAAAGACATGGACATCTTGGATGACATGGGGGTGAGTAAATTAACAGCAAAAGTTTTTTCAAAAGTGAACTACTCCTTTAATAACTTAAAATTTTAAGGCAACCAGATTACTTAATTTTTTAAGTTAAACCAGCAATATTTTTTACAGTGCTGCACAACTGAACACACACCTGAGCGTCTCTCCCGACGAGCCTCGTCTCTTCCACAGGTTGACCAGGCTGCTGGACCGGCTGGCCGCGGAGGAGGATTTCCCGTCTCCCACGTGCATTCGCACAACCGTCGACGTAGTGAACGCGCTGCGGACGTTCCTCTCCGGCTTAGCGAGGATGATGTAAACCTTCGGCGCAAACATGCAACACAAAGCCACGGTGGCGCTCAGACTGACGGAGAAGCACATGGTGATGATCTTGTAGTTGGAGCCGAAGTAAATGGGTACGAAGGCCAGCCAGATGATGCAGGTGGTGTACATGGTGAAGGCGATGTACTTCGCTTCGTTAAAATTGGCCGGGACGTTGCGCGTCTTGAAGGCGTAGAAGGTGCAGCTCATGATGAGAAGGCCGTTGTAGCCCAATGGCGCCACCACACCTAAGTTAGTGGTATTGCAGATGAGGTTGACCTCGCGGATCGAGGGATAAGCATGGACGACGTCGGGAGGCTCCATCACGAAAAGCGCCACGATAATGCCCAACTGCAGGAGGATGAGAAGGAAGGCGATCACTAGCTGGGCGCACGCGCTCATGAAACGAGGTTTCTTAGTGCAGATTTTCTTTTTGCTGCCGGCCAGAATCCGAGCGATGCGATTGGTTTTGGTGACGAGGGCCGAGTAGCTCATGGCGGGCGACAGGCCGATGCCCAGCCGCTGCAAGTAGCAGTAGATCACGCGAGGCTTCGCGATGAGACAGAAGGTGCAGAGGTATCCCATACAGATCCCCGCCAGAATGATGTAACACAGCTCGCGACTGGACGACTTCACCACGGGAGTGTCGCGGTAGATGATGAAGATGGAGGTGACGAAGAACGTGGCCATCAGACCCAAGCAGGAGAAGACCACGGCTGCGATGGGCTCAGGGTCGCCCCACCTCAGAAACTCCACTGGGATCGGGTCACATCCTAAAACAAGTCAAGAGAAAGACAATTAGTGGCGCTTGTACGATTTTTTTCCAAAAGATTTTGATTATTAGATAGGAATTAAAACACAAAACATTATAATATTGCACTTGAAGGGATGGATCACCCCAAATATGTCAATTCTGTTACTCTGTATGCATTTCTATATTGAAGAATATGGGTAAACAAACTGTTCATTTTCCTTACTTTGAAAGTCAATGGGGTCCAACTGTTTGGTTAGTGACATTCGTCAAGACTGAAAGTTATTTTGCGTTCAGCAGAAGAAAGAAACTCGTGTAGGTTTGGAAGAACTTGAGGGTGAGAAAATTATGACAGAATTTTCTTTTTTGGATGAACTAATCAAATTTTTTGGTTGAATTGTTTTAGAAAATATAAATATTTTTAAAGATTTTATAGTAAATAATAAATATACTATAAAATTCAACATACAGTAACATGTATATTTATTGTATAAATATTTAGTATAAAAACAACATTTTTTAAAATATCTGATCCTTTAATTTCTATAATTTAATATACAATATTATGCTTGATTATTGATTTTTTTAGACTACAGACTGCACTTAAAATGAGCTATTTCTAGTTAATGACATATTTTAGAAAACAAATTATAATTTTAGTAGATAAGTAAATAGAATATTTATATTTATTATATAAATATTTACAATACAAATTAAATATTTGTCTTTTCTAAAATATAAGTATATCATAATTCAATTATATTACATAAAATATTATAAGCACATATTTTTAAGATTTATTTAAATAAATATGTTATACCTTTAAGAATGGCACTTTTCCATTGCCAGACAACTCCATAGTATTGACATTGTGGATCAAGACATGCCGAAACTACTTTAAATATCAATGTATTGAAACCACCTTACCCACAATGCTCTAATATCACGGAGGAGGGTGTTCTGGCATACATTAATTAAAAAAAGTGTAAAAATATACAGTACTTGGTTATATTTGCTATATGATTCATCCGATGGTATAAATAGATGGTAAAAAGTGTGTGGGCTGATCACAGGGAGACAGATTTGATAAGTTCAACTCGGACGATTTTGATGCTGTTAACCTTTTAGCTCAATGACTGTGTGTGTATTCGTTTTCTCCTGAAATGATTTATTGAAATCCATTTGGCACAAATGTCTCTCTTTCATTTCTCCTCTTACTATTATAGGCAATGTAAGAGAGATGCAAACACGCATTTGGCAAATAAGTCGTTTTGGTGGTGATTTGGGATCCCAAACGACACTCCATGAAATGATGGAGAGTATCCGTGTGCGTCCGGGGCTTGAGCACTTTACAGAATTAGATTTGCTAAACTGAATAGCGGCGGATAAACGTGTTATTGAACCCTCAACAGGCACGAGCACGAGCCGTGAGTTCATGGGAATTGGGTTCAGGATTGTCATCAGTCGGATCCTTCATGTGTTTGTCGACTCACCGGTGAGGTCATGTGTGGGCCAAGATCCCAGCTCACACGCACGACACGTGTACTCGTCCGACACAAACTCGTTCTCCTTACAGGGGGTGCATGTCCAACAGCAGCTGACCTCTCCTTTACGGATCACCTGCAGACGAGAGAGAGAATCACATGACCTGCTGTCATGATCTGGTAAAGCAGCGCTTCTCAGCCGACGGGTCGTGACCCTGAAAGGTTGCAGTCAGGGGGGAAAAAAACATGCTACATGCAAATAGTAAAATTTAGGATAGCAAAACTAATCAAATTTTTACGGTTTGACATTTTAATGATCCACCAAATGATAATAGTGAGCCATTTTAAGCTTCGCAGCTGTGATATTTCAGGCGATGGAAAAAGGACAAGTTTTGCATAGAATATTCATATATTATATATATATATATATATATATATAAAATTTATAAATAAATATATATATATATATATATATATAATGAATATTAATATATACAGGTACACATACATATTTTAATTAATATATTAAATACAGAATTTAATAATAATAATATAATGATATTTTACTATAGTAGATTTTTATGTAGTAAATATAAACATTTACTTTTATAGTATGTTTTTGTAATATACAATATTTTAAATGTATTGGATGATATTAATTAAAAGATTAAAATAATATTCAGTCATTACTTCAATATTTTAATTAATATTAATTTAAAACATTTGAAAACTATATGTATGTTAACGTGTTACATATATATTTTAATTAATATATTAAATGCAGCATTTATAATATTATACTTAGAATATTTGAGAAAATTCAATATTTATTTAGTAAATATAAATATTATATAATATGTTTATTTACTATTAAATATTTATTTCTAAAATATTTACTTCTATTTTAAATGTATTGTATAATATTTATTTATTAATGATTCATTATTTTAAATTAATATTATTTCAAACATTTGAAAAAAAAATTATAATAAATATTTATATAGTAAATATAATTGGATTTATGTTTATAGTATGTTTTAATGCTTTTTTATTAAAAACAACAACAAAAGTCGTTCTCAACTTTTTTTTACCTGCAAGTGTGACTCAAGTGGTGACAATACAAAACCAAACATTTTTTATTGTAAATGTTGCAATAAGTAAACAAAATGTACCTTTATATCATTATTATTAAGATTACATTAATGTTGAAATTTTGGGGTTTCCAAATGTAAGGATCTCTTTCTAAAAACAATGAGTAAAACTACACAAGGTTAATCAATCATGCAGACATTAAATACAGGCTCACATGCAACTATAAATGTGCTTTAAGCCTCGATGTGTTTTATGCAGGGAATTATTAGATACAGAAAGCATGAAACATCAAAATTCATTTAAGAAATCACTCAAATTGTGGTTTGGCCTATCCAGTAAAGTATAGTATTAACCACTCAATTTCAATGTTTGATTTTAAATGTGATGTTTTTTTTGCTAACTTACAACTTGATTTTCAATGTAAAACCAGTTGAGTTGTACTTCTCACTCCAGTACATGTCCACATGCGAAATGCAATTGATAAATACGTGACTCTAGGGAAGAGTGACTGTTTCCTAACCTTGATTTGACCTTTATCGCAGGGTTCGCTGCACACCGATCTGATGATGTCCTCTTTGTTGGGCCAGATCTCGTCGTCATTGATCTGCAGACCGCTGATGTCCCAGCTGCCCACGTTTGTGTAGTCGAAATAATCCTTCCCCATCTTCTTGAAGTTCATGATCACGTAACTACGAGCAGTCAAACACACTATTGATTTAGTGGAATGGAATGAAGATGAAGGGTGAATTCATCAAAATGACTGATGCATCGATCCACCCATTGACTAACAGTCGGCTTGATGGATTGATTATCTTATTTATCGCTTGATTAATTGTTGGATCGGCTGATTGGTTTGGTCGTGGATGAATGAAGGAAGCTCCTACCTCCCTGGCGAATCTCCCTTCTCGTCGAAGTAAATGTTTTCCCCGGTCACGCCGGTGAAGTTGGTCTTCATGAGGAAGTCCAGGAGCTTGGCGCCGTCGATGGGCCTCATGGCGTCGCACAGTCCCACCACACCGGGACACAGGGATTTCTGCATGTTGTGAAGGCCGTGGGCCATGCTGTAGATGGCGTTGATCACGAAGCCCATCTTGGTGTCCTGAGCGTATTGCTGCCGCAGAGAATCGCGCTCTGAGAGAGGAAGAGATTGAGGTTAATGACAGATAACTCGTCTGTTCCTGCTCGTACCCTGTAGGCCGGTCAAATGATGAACTGTGCTAATTTGCTAATGTTCTGTGAAACTGATTTCATGCCGTGGAGAGAGCCATATTTCCATCTCAGAGGGTGTCTTTATCTGGCTCAGAGATGCGTTTTAGGCTGCATGCTGTGTAAGGCAATGTTCACACTGCGAGCCTTTGATCTTAGTTGTTGTTTTTTTTTGTATAGCTGTTCATTTTCTTGTTTTAAAGTCAAGTCATCTTCATTTATATAGCGCTTTTAACAATGAAGATTATTCCAAAGCGGCTTTACAGTGACAATAGGAAATTACAGTAAGGCTGTGTGTCCACCAAAGCGTTTGTAGCCCGCTGAAAACGCTAGATGATCTGCTGAAGACGCCGTGCTTTGGGCGCTTGAGAGCGTTTTGGCAGCGTTGAGACGTTTCGTTGCTATGATACAGAATATCCGCAGCACAGTTTACGTTAGAACTGATTTCGAAGATAATTTGTTTCACTTGTTCAGTTAGATGTCGTTGTACAGAAAGAATGTTGTGACAGTTGGTCAGTGTGGTTTAGTCCCGCCCCTCCTCCACTGTGATTGGATGGGTGGGTAAATTGTGACAGTGATGAGCGCTGCGTTTTATCCAAAAATTTTCAGCTCTCGGCAACCAGTAAAAAACGCAGGGCGCTCGGCGCTTTACACCGTGTCCCAACTACACGCGACGGCGCGACACGGGATAAAAGGTACCCCGTAACCAAACGCTACGGCGACACGCGAAGTTTCTAATTTAGAAACGGTTCCTATTTCTGCGACATCACGGCTGACAGATTGAAAAAATTTCACTGGTTATGAGTACACATTATTTTATTTTTAGTTAAAAATAGGTCATTGTGCCACAAGCGATAACGGATAATTTACCTCAGATTTTGAAAGCATGAAATATAGCGTTCAAAATTAATTCTATGCAAACATACAACTGTACTTCATAACAAAATTAGTCAATGAGTATATTTTGTTAATGTCTTGATTTTTAATAATGTTATTTCTTGATTTGATTATGTCCTTACCCATTTCCAATGCGAGTGCGGGCCACTCGCAGAGAGACTCCGCCCACACGCTGTTCTGAATGGCTGTGATTTTTGATTGACACACTTGCTGTCGCTGGAATTTTATCGCGTTGCGTGTAGTTTGGACATGGTGTTAGCATGAAAAAAATGCTCAGCGCCTCGTTACGCTCATGGCGTTTAAAAAATGCGCCGCTCCCATTGAAAACAATCGAAAATTTACGGCAGGCGCGTGGAAAAATGCTTTGGTGGACACACGGCCTAACAGATTGTTTTGGCTTTATGACAGCTGTAGAATAAACTTATTTACCAGTTAAATTTAGTTTTGATCGATTCACTTCTGTCGCAACGATCATTAGTTATTAACTTAGGGGCCGCGAGTACGCCACCATTTTAACAGAAAACTGATAAAGGATTTTGAAGGCCGATACAGATACAAATATTTTGGGGTTTTAAAATCCGATATATCGGCCGATATTTTATTTTTTATTTTTTTTTTAAACTGGACATGATAGTCACAAATTTTGTCATGCTTATTTGAGTAAAGAGAACTGATGGGGATGTTCTTTTAATTGTTATTCAAGCAATGACCAACTCAACGAGTGTTGCCAACAGGAACGGTGTAGAGTGCCCTCTGGTGGACAAACTATACAACTCCAACACTCATGACATGGTTCAAGCGTGTTTCATCCGTTTTTAGTTTATTTTTGAAATATTCATTTATCGGCCATTTTACTGCCGATACCGATAGTTTGGAAAATGCCTAATATCGGCCGATAATATCGGTCTGCCGATATATCGGTCTGGCTCTACTCTTAAGTTCACTCTACGCAAACTTTAAAAACATGCACATGCGTATTAAGAGTTCATTCTATAGGTATGTGCGTTTGAATATATGTGCGTAGGCATGGAGTCCTTCTAGTGATGCACCGATGTGAAAATTGTGTCCGATACCGATAACCGATATTAATAGTGCTGTTATAGCCAATACCGATATTTACCGATGTCGATATCTCTGTATAGAAAACACATAGAGGATTAGGGCTGCATGATATTGGTTAAAAATGACAATGCGATATTTAATTTTTCTGCGATATATATTGCGATATAAAAACAATTTCAACAGATGACCTGAGGCTCTATCTGGAAAGAATGAATCATTCTAGAATGGTTTTGTCATGGAGTAAATCCGCATAGAAACTAATATTAATAGAATGTTAACTTATTGTAAAGTTGTTTGTTCATTGTTGGACAGATCAGTTTTTTAACCATTCATTAAAGTGAATCAGTTCAAAGGAGTCGATTAGTTTGCGAATCGGACGTGTCATAAACGGACCGCGGCACACGTTGTGTGATTATCCAGGCAATTTAGGACATCGCACAAGATTTGTCTGAACACAGAAAACATTTCTTCACTAGATAAATTAGTTTTGTTTATTGAATGTGTGGTTTGTCATCTGAATGTGTGGAAAGCTTTTCGGGGAAGATAAGGCGCACAATTCACAACCAGTGGTAGTTAAAAAAAACAACCTTTTACCATCATGTATTATCAAAGATATTCAGTCAACTCAATTCATTAAAGGAACACTCTGACTTTTTGGGACTTTAGCTTTATACCTGTTAACACTCTTTCAGTGTTTCCAGCTTTCACTACTACTATTTTTACCACTATCAATATCAAACCTGCTTTTTTCCATAAAACAAAAATGCATGTTCAATGGCTGCTAACTAATTGACAAGAGTACAAAAACATGTTTATCTTGTTGTCACACTGAACAAAGATGAAGATTTCCAGCATGTGTGTCGACTGTCTGCTAGCAAATGAAGTATAGTGTACTTTGAAAGGCTAAACACGCTCATAGAAACTGAAGCATACTTTGGGCTTTAGTCAGTTTGTGATTGTATATTGCAGTTGAAAGTCTTGTTTTCACACCAAATTAATTTCATTCAAAACGGTTTGATCCCCTCAGCACGCTCTGATTGAAAAGTGAGGCTTTGAACTGACATTAAAAACATCATTTCTCTCCTAACTGTTGCTCCTGTTGGTTTATATGCAGCAGTTTGGATTCAGGTTTCAGAGGGAAGTTGAGGTGGCTCTTTTCTTATTTTTTTCTTAAATAGGACCAAGATTTTCCAGTTTCTTTGAACTCAAGCAGGATAAAGACAGCGAGACTAATGGAAGATGTGATATCTGAGGAGGAAGTCTGGATGAAAGAACACAACCATTCGTTCCTGTCTGTGTTCTTAGACTATTGTTACTCGTAAAGGTTACAGCTTTACTCTGTCCCATCTAGACGTCATCATCGTGCACACACACATGTAGGTACAGTGGTGTGAATAAGTTTTTGCCCCCATGCTAAAGTTGCCTAAAAAGAGGAATAAAAAAATCATCTTTTGGATATTGATCTTAATGCCTTAATTAGAAAAATGAGGAAAACTCCAACCTTTAAGGACACCAATTTTCTTTGTGAATGAATAATGTATCATAAATAAATAAAAAATTTTCCTTAAAATACATGGTGCATAAGTCATTGCCCCCCTATGTTAAATTAAATTCCCATAGAGTCAGGCAGATTTTTATTTTTAAAAGCCAGTTATTTCATGGATCCAGGATAATATGCATCCTGATAAAGTTCCCTTGGCTTTTGGAATTAAAATGTCCCCACATCATTACACACCTTCCACCACACCTAGAGATTGGCATGGGGTACTTTCCATTAGATCATCTTTCAATGCAAATCAAACCAGCTATTAGGCTAACTGAAGTAAAACCATGCCAATCTCTAGGTGTGGTGGAAGGTGTGTGATGATGTGGGGATATTTTAATCCCAAAGGCCAAGGGAACTTTATCAGGATGCATATTATCCTGGATCCATGAAATAACTGGCTTTTAAAAATAAAAATCTGCCTGACTCTATGGGAAATAAACATAGGGGTGTCCTGACTTATGCACCCTGTATTTTAAGGAAAAACATTTATTTATTTATGATACATTATTCATTCAAAAAGAAAATTTGTGTCCTTAAAGGTTGGAGTTTTCCTCATTTTTCTAATTAAGGCATTAAGATCAATATCCAAAAGATGATTTTTTATTCCTCTTTTTAGGCAACTTTAGCATGGGGGCCAAAACTTATTCACACCACTGTATATTGCTGTCACCTAATCATTGCATTCACTCGAACAAGTATTCATTACTTCAAGATAATTGTTTCTGCCTTAAATTATTATTGTTTAAATTAATAATTTTTTTAGCTAACTGTGATTTTGTATAAGTACATTTCTGAAATACATAACTTAGACAGTCACCTCTGATCTCAGATCACTCTAAATTGTAATGTGGACTCTTTGCTTTTTATGTAAATAAATGTGAATTGAGTTGAGCTGAGTTGACTGGACTCACTGCCGCAGGTTCTGTTGTATTTGTTGTTGTCCTGCGGGTGTCCTTTCAGCCGGCAGTGGAACCGGTGCTGCCAGAACTCGGGGAACCAGGGATTTCGTGGGTTATTGTCGGGACGTAGTTTCAGATAGTAGTCGTCAAACCACTTGACGTCCGCGGACTGCAGTTTAATCGTGATGCCGCCGGCGGCCTCGCGCACGTACCCGTCAGTGACATCATACCGGTCCGCCCACCCATCACTGAGGAGAGAGAACAACAACATCAGTGTGGAGGATCACATGCATCTTCTGCTGTCAGTCATCATGAGCGTGTGTGTGTGTGTGTGTCTGTGAGTGTGTGTACGTATGTGTGGGGGTGTTTGTGAGTGAGTGTGTATGTGTGTGTGTGTGTGAGAGAGTTTGTGATTGTGTGAGTGAGTGTGCATGTGTGTGTGAGTTTGTTTGTGTGTATGTGTGAGTGTGTGTGAGAGAGTTTGTGATTGTGTGGGTGAGTGTGCATGTGTGTGTGAGTTTGTTTGTGTGTATGTGTGAGTGAAAGAGATTGTGTGATTGTGTGTATGAGAAAGTGTTGCTGTGTGTGTGTATACATGTATGTCTGTATGTGAGTGAGTGTCTGTGTGTGATTTTGTCTGTGTGTGTGTGTGTGTGTGGGTGCACACCACGGGAGTGTGTGTGTGTGCGTACGCTACTGATATGTGTGTGTGTCTGTCCTTCTGTGGGTGTGTGTGTGTGTGTGTGTGTGTGTGCATCTGTTTGTGTAAGTGCATGTGTGCACGCCATGGGTGTGTGTGTGTGTATACTCCACGGTTGTGTGTGTGCGTCTGTCCTTCTGTGAGTGTGTGTGTGTGTGTGTGTGTTTTGGCAGCGTCATGTTGAAACATTCAGTTCGGCGATGTGAAGCCTCCCTGAAACGCACACTGACTGATACATTTGAGCAAATTAAATAGTTTCGATACAAAGTAGATACAAATTGCCAATTAAATGAACACAAATGACTCATTATTTTTCTCTGTCTGCGCTGCCAGTTTCCCCAGTAACCATGACAACTAGAGGCATATTTTTAAAAGACTGATAATTATTGATGCATCTGGAAGTGTAAATGTGTGTGAGACACACACGCACTGATCATTGACCCAGGACATCCATGCGCTGAAAACACACATTAAAATGGATATGAGTTTATATATAATGTGAAAGGGTTATAAACAAACACCTTGATTCACACATTAAAAAAATAAAACTTTGTGCATGTATGACTTCCTAGCCAAATCCGAATGAGCATCAGAACTGAAATGTGACTTAGTGATCTTTATAGGCAGCATGAATACGTGCACGTCCTCATATAAAGCCTGAAAATGCTGTCTGGGTAGGTTTCGTAACTGAGCTTGTGTGTGTTTGTTAACGCGATTACACCCCTGCCGACGGGTCAGCTGGAGAAATCAACCCTGGGTTAAACTTAATACAAAAAAAGAAAAATCACACACACCCTTCAGCCGGGACAGATAAGGACAGTCACCTTATAATGAAACTAGTGCAAATGAGCTCACACACACACACACACACACACACACACACACACACACAGTGCAGATGGCATCATTGTGGGCAAACTCATTTGACACCCTGTGTGGCTGCGTGGAGGGACTGATGACCTCACAACTGGCTGCGACACGATTGGCCGAGACTGTAACCATGGCGACAGCATAGGAGTAGGTGCTTATGGGGGATTCCGAGGAACTCAACTGAAAATGATACATTGTTTGTGTTGTAGGCTCTTATGCTCTCTGTTTTATTACAGTACCATCTTTATCTCAGGTGTTTCTTTTTAAGAGGCCATATTGTGCCCTTTTGCAAAGTCTTGATTTTGTTTTTGGGCTCTACTAGCTTGAATGTTCATAAAACACATTATTTTTCCCTTATTCTCCATGTTGCAGCTCCTCTCTTCACAGTCTGTCAGTAATGCTCTGTTTAGTTCCTGTCTCTGTGAAGCCCCTCCTTCTAAAAGCACACTGTGCTCTGATTGGTCGGCTGGATCAGTGTGTTGTGATTGGTCAAGCACTTCGAGTGTGTTTGGGAAATGTCCCGCCCCATTATCAAAACCTTGATTTGACACATTACAAACAACCTCAATCAGGCTCCGCCCCCTTATTCTGCGAATGAATTATTTAAATGAGGAATATTCGACGTGTTCGTTCCCGGAAGAAACTCAAGACTACAACTCATACTTTGCACGTGTTTCGAGGTGTAAACGACACGCCAGATAGTTGTTGTGCGATTGGTTGTACTAACCAGATGAGATAAGCAACCTTCACAGCATAACGTTACACGTCTTTACGTTACACGAGTTTCGTCAATCAACGCCACCAGCTGGTTTGGAGAGTCAGCTGTTTGTGTTATGAGGCTAACTGTACGTTCATACCACCGCCGTGAATGAATGACTTCTGGGCACTTTGACACTCTCGCCGGTGGCGGTGTAAACGCAGCTGTCATATTTTGCTAACGACAACAAAAGTGTGTGATAGGTTGTTTTGAGGTTTGTGATATCTATGGTTTTCAGTGAGAACAGTAGAGATAGATTATTTACGGAGGATTTATTACTGCTCGATTATCTAAAAAAAACTTGCCTGCTTTACATCATTTAACTACCGTCACCTTGGAGTTATTCCTAGTCAATAGTAATGCAGCTAGCTCGCTAACAGACTTGATAGCTATTAGAAATACCTGGAACTAGAGCCCGACCGATAAAGGATTTTGAAGGCCGATACCGATACAAATATTTTTGGGTTTTAAAATCCGATATTCCGATATATCGGCCGATTTTTTTTTTTATTAAATATTGTTGGATTTCACACACGTGTAAAAGAAAAGCTAACTTTTCTGCACAAGATACGTTTGATACTTTTTCTCTATGTCTAAATGTTCACTCCTCGCAAGTATAACTTGACCGTAACTAGAGATATGCTAGTTAAAAATACAGTAATCATTACTTTATTTAGGCAGAAAAAAATCATTGTTGTTTCCAAGCTCATTAATGTTAACGTTAGCGGGCTTCCACTGATGATAGTGGCATTAGCTTGCTTTGTGGTTAGCTAGTCTATGATGAGCCATAATATAGCAATAGATAACATCATACTGCAAATTGTAAAACATACATTTTCAATATAACAGGCCAAGGAGAGATGATTAAAGCGTGTTACATCCGTTTTTATTTTATTTTTTAAATATTCATTTATCGGCCATTATAACTGCCGATACCGATATTATGGAAAATGCCTAATATCGGCCGATAATATCGGTCTGGCTCTACCTGGAACTACAGGACTCTTCGTTGAAAATACCTGTTTGTTGCCCGCCAGCAGTGGTGGAATGTAACAAAGTACAAATACTTTGTTACTTTACTTAAGTACATTTTTCACGTATCTTTACTTTACTTAAGTAGAATAAATAGTGCCTACTTTTTACTTTTACTTCGTTACATTTTGCAGCAATTATTATACTTTCTACTCCACTACATTTCTACAACTTCTGTTACATTTTCGTTACATTTTCTGATCAGTTTTTCCCCTGCCAAAACGTAATCTGACCGTCTTGTCTCACCAGTGACGTTTGGTTGCCATAGATACAGTATATCAACCCGGTCACACTAAATGCGTCTCGCACGCAGTGTTTATCATGCAACTCGTACGCGAAAATTAGTTTTTACGTGCATAGGAAACACACCGTGTGTAATATATGTTTGGTTTGGTTAGGATTATGGCAAGCCAAGAGGTTCAGAATTACACCATAAATTATTCTCGTTTACTGCCAAACATAGTTATTAACAGATAGTAAGGATAAGCATGATATTGCCTAATTGCAAGCTTGTTTCAGAAATGGTGACATTTTTTTCCATCATTATTGAACATCATTATAGGAGTAGGCTGTTAGGTTGAATGAGTTAGAATTAAATGTTTTATTAATCATTAGAAAATAGACATTAAGATAATAAATTGTTATGCAAGTACTTTTACTTTTAATACTTAAAGTACATTTAAAATAAAGTACTTTTTACTTTTTACTTAAGTATGGTTGTCATTGTGTTACTTCTACTTTTACTAAAGTAAATATTTATCTGGGTATTTGTACTTTTACTTAAGTACTGAGATTCAGTACTTCCTCCACCACTGCCCGCCAGGCATCCATAGTAGTCACGTGACTGCAATGTATGAATAGAGGCGTTTCAGGGAGTTCAGAAAGACTGACACAGATATCAAGAATAAGGCACAAAGAAGGCATGATGGCTGGAAGCGTCAGACCAACAGCAACAATGAGCAATTTAAGATAATTTCAGGCAAAACGGCTGAAAAATTATAGAAGTTACAAAAATACAGCCGCAAAAACAACAATGTCCTCAGCTTTCCAGCGCTAATTTCTCACTGTGCGTCTTTAGTAAATCCTGACAGTCCCAAAAGAGGGTTGTGTTGGAGCAAGCTGTTAGAAAATCTGGCCCTAAACGTGAAGAGAGAGAGAGAGAGGGAGAGAGAAAGGGAGGTAAGGAGCGCAGTCCCATCCCAAGGTGAAGGATTAATCTAGAGGTGACCGACAACAACAGTTCGTCACGCAAACACACTCTGTCCTGGAACAAGTGCTGCGTGGCCGAGATAACTTGAACCGTGTCGACACACAAACACTGGCAGAATGTGCCATTTGTGCTTCCCACAATGCACTCTGACAAAACAGCATCCTGAAGAATTGTTATTTGCAGCGGAGTTTTACTGGCTCCTGAGAAATATGAAGTAATGAATCACGCGCAAGAACACCAGAAGAGTGTAAAACAGGTCAGCTCTGATTCCACTGGATCTTTAATCACATCTCCGTCAGGTTTTCCCAAAGAGAGGAAGCTTTGATCTCCTCCTTTACAATTTGTCCATTCAGGTCTGAATCTGAACTTCCTAGCAGCTGAAAACAGTCTCTCTTTCTCTCTCATTAAAATTTTTTTAAATCTTTTGTAATAGCAATTTGATTGTAATAATAAAGGTGAACTTAATCCTCTCTCTCTCCCCCTCTTTCTCTCTCTCTCTCTCTCTCTTTCTCTCTCTCTCGCTCTCAGTCTGTTGCATCTTCCCGCAGACATCGCTGTCTCAGCGTCATGGAGACGAGACGACAGATTGCCATGGCGATAGAACTATCGTTGTTTGATAAATCTGACAGCAACTTTTGGAAGAGGTGTGTTTAGTTGTATTGAGTAATACAGAGAGGAG